TGTAAATAACACATACAAACCTTATTTTACTTGCAAATTAATGTAGAGCTTAAAATAAAAATACATTTGTCTTTTATTATAGTAAGCATAGAGTCTACAATATACATAATGTGTCTGAAGCCAGATATAGGAAAGAGACCAGCTTCAGTTCTTTAAGTTTCCAAAAGTATACAGAACGCATGGCAAGATGTCTTACTGCAAGAAATTTAAATGTTAAAGATGAAGTGAGAAAAGAAAAAAAAATCAACTATTTGTAACGCATAAGTTATTGTATTAGAATAAAGTTCAGAAGTACGCAGAACGCGTGACAGAAAGTCTTGTTGCAAGAAATTCGAATGTTAAAGATAAAGCGAGAAATGAAAAAAGGAATCCACTATTTGTAATGCACAATTAATCGTATTGCAATATCAGTTTCAGTCCTTAGAATCTTCATAAGTACACACAATGCATTGCAGAAAGTCAAATGCTTGGCATGGCCAGGCAAAGCATTTTCAGATCATCAATTCCCATACTTTCTCTCTCGCAGACTTTCACATAATTTGTCAATTTAAAACTTTGACAATATGAGTACATTTTCATTTTATTGTGTTTTAAAATATTTCTAAGGACATTCATTGACGCAGATACCCCTCTTATCACAGGCTTTCAGATAATTTGTCAGTTTAAATCGCTGACAATATGAGTACATTTTCATTATTTTACATTTTAAAATAATTCTTATTCATCAAAACCTTGACCTTGCCTGGCCACACCAAGCATTTGACTTCCAGGCCACGGACATCTAGGCAAATGTCTAAACAGTCTCAGTTTGTGGTTGATACACTATTTACCTTCTTCATTTCACCGCCAAAGTGCGGAGCAGTCAGTTTACATGAGTTGTCATTAGGGTCTGAACGTTTGCACTGTTGAACACAGCATTTTAGCTGTGCATAGTTGGAAAGCACCGAATTTTTCATTGTGTTATACAGTGTCGCCTTTGGGCTGGAAAGCCTGGAAAGATTAGTATGGTTCTTTGCTGTGTTGGCTAAGAGCAGACATACGATCGGTACGATAAAAAAACTTTGGTGGCTGAGAGTAGATATACGACCACAAAGGGTTAAACATGAATATCAGCCAACACAAAAAGATGTGCGTCTAACATTTTTCAATGTTCTACCTGTGTGCCAAGTTTCATTAATAATCTACGTGTAACAATTGAATGATATCCCTTGTCAGTTAATTAATTTTCATACGGACTTTTTAAAGTGTCATTGTCAATTCGTTTGAGACTTTTAAATTTTCTACAGCTATTAAAAAAAGAGTTGCTCCTTGAAACTATTTCACAGAAAAAATTTATCCAACACTTTTTCACCGCTGCAGATGCTACAAATGTCTCTCAAGCATGAGCATTGTATGATCGTTATTCAAGCGTCGTGCACATTAACACTTATTATTAGACTAAAAGCGTTAATCTGCTTCTACTTCGACTTGTCGCTGGCACGAATACGCTACTACGACCTGAAATAATCGGAAATGATTACAAACTGACATTATACTGAATATTGAGACGCGATTTGCAGAATACTAATTAGCAGTGCAAACTTAACCCTTACTCGACATGCAGGGATCATATGAACCCCACAACCATATTTCATAAATTTTAAGTACAGTCTGTAATACCAGAGCGTAGACGCGATATTTCTGGAAAAAAATATCTTTTTTATCAAAAAAGTGATGTAGATCGAAAGTGTATTTAAAAAGCTAATACGCTCTTACTTAATAGTGGGTTCACTCTCCTTCATTTGCAATTATAGCTTAGTAACATCTCGGCATGCTATTGACTAATTTTTCTGCATTGGAGACAGGTAGTATTGAGGTACAAACGAAACGAAAATCGGTACAAACGGGTACAAACGATTCTAAAGAATCGGCAAAAAATTGATTTTAAAAATCTTGAAAATTGACGAACTTCTCTTTTACGCGTATCAACAATTTGCTGTATAATGTAAACTATTGAGGTACAAACGAAACGAAAAGCGATACTAACGGGTTCAAACGAAACGAAAAGCGATACTAACGGGTACAAACGATTCTAAAGAATAGGGAAGAAACAGATTTTAGAAATCTTGAAAATTGAAGAACTTCTCTCTTACGCGTATAAACAATTGCTTGTAAAATTTAAACTATTTTGGTACAAACGAAACGAAAAGCGGTACAAACGGGTACAAACGATTCTAAAGAAGAGGGAAAAAACAGATTTCAAAAATCTCAATATCGGGTGCTGACCATTTTTCGAATTTTTGTAAATTATTAATTGATGAAGGTACAAACGATACTATTGGTGGAACAATCAAGTACAAACGAAATACTATCATTGTCTATAAAAAAAAATAACTTTTGAAAAGTCAGGTGCCAGATTCACATCACTTTACAAGATTTTTGTTGATTGTTGCGACGATTTGGAGTCAAATTGGTTGTCATGCTGTTTTTTTAATTGTTTTTTATGTTTTTCAATGATATTCTGATGAAAAAAATAATATTTTCATTACAAATATCAACTTTTTATTGTATTTTGAAGGTAACATGAAGTTCGCTTTATCACAAATTTACTGTATTCAGTTCTCAGAATAAATACCTTCTTTCAATGGACACTGAATTAATATTTTTTTTCTCGCGGTGCTACATCAGCGGAAAACAGAACTAAATTTTGAGGCCTTAGATGTATAAATAAAAAAGTTATACATTTTTTATAAAATCAACCTTTTTCTTATTTTTGATTGCTGTTTTAATTTTGTTACCATACTTTACTATATTTTTTATTTATATACTCTACCCTACTTTAAAAACTAAACTTTTAAGAAATTAAAAATAAAATCAAGTTAAAATATATAATAGTTTATTTATTATAACGGTTTCTGTCATTAGGGTGCATGTGATCCCTGTGTGCTGAGTAAGACTTGACTCCAAGACCTGATTTTGCAATTTCAGCCTTAAAACATCATAAACAATAAAAGTGCGTTTCTTTTTTTCTTATAGAAGAAATTTGTTTGCATATACTTTTTCCAACATCAGGCCTTGGAATCGTACCCGCCAAAGTGTAACGGATATATTAAAACCAGAATTATTAGAAAATATTGCTTCTTGTAACGTGGTTGGTTAAGTAATGGGATATCACTTGAAGGTTTCTTTGAATTGAGAGCACTTGAAACCTTTACTGAACAACGTGTATTTCTAACAAAATATAACACCTTTAAACTTGTACAATAATTTCCACGATCTTTGTCGGGTGCGTAGTTAAACCGCGGCGCGGACTTCCTTCTATTCTCTATGTTGAACCTTCGACCATACATGAATCGCTCAAGCTATAGTGTAGTCCGTAACTAATATCTTCCATGCCAAAGTTACGAGTAAGCAGTTGTGCGCAAGCGCTACAGTCAATGGGCGATAGCAGTGGGGAAAGGCGCGAATTGAAATTTTTGACGGTTTGCCGAACTACTCTTCGACCATTGGTCAAAGCTGAAGTTAGCCTATCATCTAGATGGAATTTTTGCTATAGTTCTCGAATTTGACGCATGCGCATTACCGTCATGTCTCACTTTTGGTATGAAGATGTTGGTTACCCTCTGCTCAGTGTATAAAGAGTAGGCTTGAGGAGTCCATGTATATATCGAAGGTCGAAGGTTTGAGCTGCCCTCGGTCCGATTCTTGTCCACACAAGGGAGCTAGTCTCGGAGCACTCGGGCTGGCAACGTCTAGGTTTGTCCACACAAGGGAGCAGTCCAGAGCAGGTAGCCAGTTCTTAGGAATTCGAAGAATTCTGCCAATTTCTGGGAACGCAGCCCTTTCTATACCCATTTGGGCCTGGGCCCACGCGCTGCGCCGGGTGGGGGTAGTCACGTGGGGTGGGGCGCGAGGGAGGGGGTGACTCGCTGGTGGGGGTTGCGTTGTAGCGGAGGTGGCTACGGCTCCGCTCTAGCGCGATCGGGGCACTACTCTGATGAGTTCCGAGGGTAACTGGAATGTTACGTTTGAAGGGGGTGTTACATTCTTTGATTCAATAAAATTGAACACAATCATGCTAGCCCATTGAGCTCTATCCTAACTGGAGTGTGAACTCCTGTAGGAAGAAGTAGAAGAAGAAGAGAAATGCAACATGGGTGGTTCCGGTATTATCCTATAGCAAATTTATTTGTAGAGGGGGAACAAACGTACGCCGTAACATAACCTACCCGAGCATCGCTGAGCATTGTCGAGTGAGTTACTTTCAGATTCTTTTCCGCATAAAATTGGATAAATACAATATAAATTGAATTGTGTGACAAATAATCAAATTTAACTCTATACCAAATTGTATATATTTATATGATCTAAATTACGGTATGTAAATTACGTATACTATTCCATTATTATGTCATTATTATTAATGTTTCTATCGTTTTATATATAAATAAAAAGGAAATAAAGTTCAAATCTGTACATAATTAATCTGTAAATAATTCCTAGTGCCGCGAAGTTTAAACAAAGAGGAGTCTGTTCTCCCTCCACACATAAATTTGCTATAGGATAGTACCACCGGAATCACTCATCTTGCATCTCTCTAGGACCGGCTTCTCTCTCACAGTTCACACTCCAGTTAGGATAGAGCTCAATGTGCTAGCCTAATCGCCCTGTCTTCGTCTCTTCTGCAATTGTTGTATCGTCCTCTCTGTCCTTGTCCCGGAGTTCCCAATTTTTCCGCAACTGTCGCTGAAGTCAACTCGAAGTTTGACTCTGGCTCCTGCGCACTCTTAACACCATCGAATTAGTTGCATTTTTGTTGCAGGGTGAAGGAATGCCAAAAATTTGACGGTCAGACGATCGTTCCCGGTAACATTGAAGCAGCGTTGGTCACTTGCAACTCTAAAACAAAGAATCAAGCGTCTTCCGCCAGCGGGAAACCCATCTACAAGAACGTTCACCCGGTCCTAAGTACCGACAAGGTCCGCGAACGCTGGCGTCGCAACGATAGCCAACCAACGCCGCCCATCCAACTTTCGCGCAAGCTCAGCGTTCTCTTGCTCGGTATCGACAGTGTCAGTCGACTGAATTTTCTGCGTAGCGCGCCATCTGCCGATAAATATCTGCGCGAGACTGGCTGGGTTCGCTTGGACGGATACAACAAAATGGCGGACAATACCTTCCCGAATCTGATGGCGATACTGACCGGTCAAAATCAAACCGAGGCCTACGCGATATGCAAGCCAACCGTTCCCTACAAACTTGACCAGTGCCCCTTTCTTTGGCATAACTTTCGCAACGCCGGATACGTCACGGCCTATGGCGAGGACGAGACCACTCTGAGCACCTTCAACTATCTCAAAGTCGGTTTCATGGATCCGCCAACTGACTACTACCTGCGGCCGTACATACTGGCCTGCGAGAAGCTGCTCAAGGTGAAGAAGAGGTACGAAAACATATAGTTCCCGTTATTACTTAATATTCAATATTCTATACGCGTGCAAAGTTTGCAAGTGAAGCCACTACACTAACCAATGCACTTGTTCGAAGAAGAATTCTTCAGTTTTGGTTAATACCGAAATTGTTAACTTTTCCCTAAAAAGGGAAGACCTAGTAAGTATATACTATTGAAAGATGGAAAGAAAAATACGGGACGGCACAGGGCCAAGACAAACAATAAAATACAAAAATAATCAGCTTTGTACTAATGATGTAAAAAAAAAGTGTCACTACCTCCCGTATTAGTTAGTTATATTTTATCCTCTTTGCGGAGTACATGCGGACCTCCGCTCCGCTTACATTTCATTTCCTTTTATCATTACTTATCGAACTAGGTCACGGTGTAAAAAAGATAGGTGGACCGACTCTTTTTTTTTTTTTTTTTTTACGTGAGGAAATGCGTTTACGCACGCCCCCTCATAAGGAGGGGGTAGTGTGGGACTCGCCCCTTGATTTGATATCAAGGGAAATACCCACTAAAACCTCACGGTGGCCGGCCACGGCGCATTGGGGAGGGGCACCGGGATCTCTTACAAACGCTACCGGTGCCCCTCCGCACCTCTCCCCCCCCCCCCCCCCCAACGAAGGGAGGAGTGCCATCTCCGGTGGGGAGTGAATACCTCCCCACCTGACCGCGGATGCCGCAGCCCGCGGTCTCGCCTGTCCCTTTTAGTCGCCTGTTACGACAAGCAGGGATTACTGTGGGTGTATTCTGTTCCCCGACCCACAGGGAAAAGGTGGACCGACTCTATCCCTACTCCTGTGATTTTCAAGAAAAAGTTACTTGTCCCTCCTGCAGAGGGTATTAGTGTAATATGTGAACAATATCACGTTTACTTCTTTATGTTTCTTTTACACCGTGTCCACGCCGTAAGAAAGTTATGGCACCGTGATCGTGCCATAACCACGTGCCAAATACCAAATTTTGTGATTCGTTATTTATTATAACGTTTATTTAAAAAGCGAGTGTTTTACACATCAGCAATGCTTTTACTGAACAACAATCTTGTGCATTGCTTCAGTTACACCGCTGTACAATATCGAATTTTGGCGCGGTAGCTAATTCAACAGAACTCCGCCAAGGGGAGCCACCAGAACACACACAGGTCACGCAACGTGGTTATGGCACGGTGTAAAAGAAACATAAGGAAGTAAACGTGATATTGTTCACATGTTACGCTAATACCCTCTGCAGGAGGGACGAGAAACTTTTTCTTTAAGGGGATAGACACGGGTAATGCAGCGAGATGACATTACCAGCAAAAGTGGGCCTAAAAAGGGGTTCGCGATTTTTCGCTTTTCGTCCTTATATTAGCATATTTTGGACTGAATGAGGGCTCATTCGAAAAAGGAAGGTCCAACGAAGGGTGCTCTAGTCATGATTGAACGATAGTGTGTTGATATTTAATAATATGAGCATCCAAAGTTGAACAAAAGTCGAGCAAAACGTAGAATGGAAGTATTTTTAGGTTACTAAATGGACTTCGTGACTCAAATGATGACCAGAGCATCCTTTGTTGGACCTTCATCTTTCGAATGAGCCCTCATTCAACCCAAAATATGCTAATATAAGAACAAAAAGCGAAAAATCGTGAAAACATTCCCAAAGACGAGTTCCGCCATTTTGACGATAATGCAGAGCATTACGTCACAAATTTAGTTCAGACAATCGATAGGAGATGGCGCTTACTGAGGACGACTGCAACGTGAATTCGATACAATTGCAATGTTGCCGTTCTCACAATAGTGTCTCTCTACACTGTTGCCATTTCACTGAAGTCGAAATCGCGCTTAGCATTCCGTATCCTTACATTTGCCAACGTGGACTCTCAGTCCCTCTTCCTTCTTCGTCAAATTGTTTCTTTCTACTATCGTCGTCGCTTCGAAACTCTAGCTTTGCGCTGGAAGCGGTTCGATCCCGGTAGGAGTCACTTATTTTTTTTTACTTTTTCTTCCGTTTGTACCATGTTTTGTTATGGAAACTACGTTTTTATATATTAAGATTATTTGTATACAATATTGTGCAATTTTTATGTTTTTTGTCGCTTTGAAAAAGAAGTCAGGATGTGAAAGGAGTTTCTGCAAGCTTTTATAAAAGCTTATGTCATTATAGTTTGTAAATAATAATTTAATTATATTAAACAAACATTGCACAACTTCTTTCTTTTTTCTTTTGTTTTCCTTTTCTTTCTTTCTTTTTTCTGACTTCTTTTTCAATGCGATAAAAAACATAAAAATTGCACAATATTGTATAAAAATAATCTTAATATATAAAAATGTAGTTTCCATAACAAAACATGGTACAAACGGAAGAAAAAGTAAAAAAAAAAAAATAAGTGACTCCTACCGGGATAGAACTGCTTCCAGCGCAAAAGATCATCTTCGAAAAGTGGTACTCTATCGACTATGCCACGCTGTTTCTATGATACATCCGACTCTTATACGGTTGACACTCGTCAATCGAAATTTAGCTATTTTTAGAAATTTATTTCTCGAAAACGAAAGAGAGTCGCGCCTTCTCACTTGAAGAGATTGTTCTAAATTCCCTTTTTTACATATGAACAAAATTTGATTAAATAATTCGGAGGACACTAGGCGATGTCTCATTTGTAGTTTCATCAATCGATAAATGAAAAAAAATTGTAACAACCTAATACTAAAATCGAAATGAAACACTATCATTTTCCGTAAAAAAAAAGTTAATTTTTTAGCAGTTGGATATCAGGTTCACATACCCTAGTAGCACAAAATATTGAATACAGATTCATCCAATAAAAGAGATTGAATCTCATTTTAATATTTAAATATACATATCACGTTTATTCTAGATTTAGAAAAAAATACTTTTTTTTTTTAAGTATAAAATGAATATCTATTCAATATTTAGGATGGAATATTTTTTCCCAAATGTAAAATACATATTTATTTAATATTCGCAACAATATATTTTTTCTCGAATATAGAATACATATTCATCTGATATTCAAATTCCCACCGAGGTAAACAAAATTAAAATAACTTGTTTTAATGGAATCCAATCACAAGAAATGAAGTAATAAAAGTAAAATCTATGAATAAATGAGACACAATATAAAATTTGATTTGTAACGTGTAATAATAAGAACAAATCATTGTAACGTGGCGCCCCGTTTAGGAACCCGCGACAACGACGCTCCTGGGGGAAAAACCCTGTACGCGACGCAGTACCGAGCGTCCGGCTAGGTACCGCGCGGAGGGGAAAACCCATAAAAAGGAATCTCCCCATGGTCCGTGCTTTCCCTAGAAAGCAGCCTACCGTTTCCAGGAAAGGCAAAGAGAGAGAAAAGGAGTCAGGCTTCAAAGTCACGAGCAGATGACGAATAAGGTGTTCGGCACTCCACGACTTGCGTAGCTTCCAAAAACCATCCCAACGCCCAAGCTTGAGGAAACCGAGATCCGCAAGGTGACCGGTACCGGCCAAGTGTTTCCCGACTCGTTAGAGGAAGACGTCTCCGACGACACCCCTACGAGATTCCTACCAAAAACCCCTCTTACCGCCTCTCCATCAGCATCGGGCAAAATTGAATTTCCTACGGGCCGCGTGGAATCCTAAACGTGCGTAATCCTCGCCTGTACCGCGAACAACCGCGACCCTAGTATTAACGAAAAAAGTGTAATCATAGCTTGTTTAAAATAAACGAATACGTTAAAAACTACACCAACGTTACAGATTTAATTTTTTTTTAAATCTCTTAATTTTCAAGATGTACTCAACATTGCCCGAATATTCAATACGCATCTTCTAAACATAAATTTCACATTATCCGAATATTTTTTAAACGTTTCTGTTAAAATATTTATGGGAAATAGGAAACATTAATAATGGATTTTTCAGGATATATATAGGTATCGGTTTTTATATTTAATTAGTATGCCGTCTTGCCGTCCCGTGATCAGCTGACGGCGGAGGTTGTCTTCAACCGTCCCCGCCGCCAGTTGCCATCATTAATCCGGAGGCCAGACCGCGCGACCTCTACTAGGTCGCCGCCGCCCCCGGTTCCTTCGAACGGAATTGGTCAACTCTTGATCCCGCCCTGCGGTCTCCTACGAGATAACCTCTTCGCAGGAGACCACCGCCCTCCAGTGAATCCTATACACCCCCTGTCAATCTATTCCTGGTCCGTTAGGCAGTAACCGGGCTCAGCCTGCGTGTTCTGTAACACGGGTTGGATTTGGTGCCCTCTGTTGTCTGCCACCCTCCACCCTCGTTCCCTGATTTTATACCCTATCACTCCCCCCCGTCCCTCTTCCCCCGTCCCTGGGGGGGGGGGGGGGGGGCAGGGGGGGGGGGGGGGGGCGCGCCCCCCCCCCCTGGTTAAGACTATCCCTCTCGGTTCCTCCTCCCGACGATAGCCTGGCGTCCATGGTCGGGGTTTGGATTTCCGGATTATCTGTATTTGGAAACTCTACTACCCCGGATATCCCTACCTAGGCCGATAGTTGCTACGGAGTCTTCGCTACACCTTGTTGGGTGATTTCTGCGATTGGATTCCAGTCTTAGACCTTTTCAGCCCATATTCTCCGCAGCCGCTTCCTACTTTGGCGAGCCTACTTTGTTAGTATCGTTCTTTTTATTCTGTTATCCTCTTCTGATTCACAACCCCGAACGGCACGGCTGATTCCATCTGTTTGACACGGTCACCACCCGCCCTTGGGTTCATCTCTCTGAATTCCCCTTTTCCTTGCGGAAGGTTATTTACATCGGTTAGGAGGGTCCCCAGTCCCTCCGTGGAGCCAATGGTATATACCATTTGCATGGCTCCGCGGCTCCTTTTCTTAAGATGGAGGATTTTCACGGCTCGGTTACCACCCATCCTAGGCCCTACCATATCCTGTTTGCAGGAGCTGTAGAGCCCTTAACCATGTAGGATGGTTGTTGTTTATTCCTTGCTCCGACACGGTGAGGTGCAGTCACGTGTCCCACTACTATTCTCCTTTATATCTTTAATCTGTTTTTAGCCCGTCTAGTAACTCTTTCTTTCTCTCCGGTTTTCCATTGGTTGTTTTCTTCCGCTTGTTTCTGTTGATCCTAGTAAATCTTACTTCTATAACTTACATCTAATTTCTCGTCACACGCACACTCACACCTGAGAGAGAAAGAGACTCGATTCACCCATTTTCTCCTTCCATTTTTTTTCACACACTCTCATTCCTGACCTCAGTTTCCGCCGCTCGTCCTGGCTCTCATCTCTTCTACTCTCCTCATCCACACCTCCCCCTCCCCCTCTTTCCCTAGCACCTCCGTCACAACCTCCTGCCACCCTTTTTCTCTACCCCAGTCTGTTCAGGATAAAATGGGGTGTTGAAAGAAACTTTACACACTCGCTTCACACCAAGAAACCAGACTTTATTAATCGAAGGATAAAAATCAAAATGTCCAAAGACTCGCAACATGGGATTCTCATTCGGATGAGAATTCCCTTATCGGACGATTGTCCCGCCCAGAATTGAATTCGTCTCGCGAAGTAACGACCGACGACACCTCGCAATGCCCCTTCCTCGTCTTCGTTGCCACGCCTTGGCGGCCAAGGGGCGCGCCGACTGGACCCCGATTTTGGAAACAAGACCCAATTAGGGCGCTTTTCGCCCCACGCTCAACCCCGTCGCGGTGTCTTCCCCCACAGCCTCGAAACTAGGGGTAGGTGGTCGCCTGGTGACTCACGGAAGGCCCAACGCGCTCATGGGTTTTTCCAAATTTATGGCATGAAACGGTCACATTTGGCTTGATATTGACGGCAATCAGCTACAAACCGAAAGCGACATATTTCGCGAGCATGTCATAAACTATTGTTGGCCCTCGGTTCAGCTCTTCGCGTCGCTCGAGGAAGAATATTCCTAGTAGCAATTATTGTTGGCATTTTGATGAGCTATTGACGTGATATCGGCTGGCCAACGGTTAGGATTGTCGTCCTTTTCTTCAACTGAGCCAACGATCACACCCAATCTAGGCCCCACGTTACTTTCAATATAAAGGCCCAACTGAACATTTCTTTCCGTAGGGCCAACTCTTGATTAGGTACAATAAACCAACAGTAGGCAGACAATTGGCTCTACTACACTTCAATAAAACAGCTTTCAGAATGTTTTTTGGAGATTATTTCTTTTATATATGAGATTTATACCTTAATTGAATAATAAAATTAAAATAAAAACCAATTTGTATATTTGAAAAATATTTTATTTAAAATTTTGTAATGTTAGTCTTTTATTCAACTTTTGGATGTGTAACGTTCATTAACGGGCATTATCCCCCCTTCTAAAGCTTTATTAAATTTTGCCATTAATTTCTATGGAGGCCACATGCATTCTTTTTTTAAAGACGTAAGCCACTCCGATCGTACAACACTAACACTTCCATTGTCACCATCTTGAGTTGCTTCAAATTCAATTACTTTGTACATTATGTAAAAATAAAATAGAACAAATATTATGTACGAAGCGCGTCTAATCGTGATAAATGCACGCGTTCAACTGCATTAGTGCCTTGTCGCTTCCTACCGTCGCCTTCGTCGATCAGTTTTTTGTTTTATAACCGTCGTTGTTAAGAACAAAAATTCATATGAATTAAAAATGTATATTAAATAGAACGCAGTAAAACAATACGCATTACTGTTGTACAAACGGATCTTTCACTTTCCATATTAAATGACCACTTACCTGCTTTATATTAGAACGGATCATCAAACGGACTGCAAGACGCCATGCATCTGCAGTGCAGATTCTGCACATAATATACATATAACAGTCATTTCACCTTTAACTCGAAAAATAAAACACTCGCGTTGCGAATTATATTCGTAATTCGCTGGCTTTGACTGGCTTCACGCACATCATTTTCAATCATTATTTGTGCTTTATTGTAAATGTCAATGCGTAACATAAAATAAAGTAATGGATAACAAAAATTAACTTTCTGGTGACAACGGTGCCCTCTTAGCATCACATCGATTAAAAATTAAAAGAAACAAGAGTCGAGAGACTCGTCCGTCGTTGTGGCGGCAACAAGGCTTTTCATTTGTTTTCAGTTTTGCTTTCTGAAATTAAAGTCGACAAATTTAATGAATAATCAATTAATAAAGTTCAATATACTGTATATAACAAAACTTCAATGGGCCAACTATGGCCCAACGACAGAAAACCGTGAGTATTATTCACAAATAAGAATAGAAAGAATTCATTTTAGAATGTAACAACAGGTTCGTAACAGGTTTGTAACAAGATTTCCACAACGTCTAAGGGCAACGTTAAAGCGTTGGCGTGCTTTGGTTGGTCCGAAGTAGTATTATTGTTGCAAGTTTCTTGTTAATTAACCAACTATAGTAATTGTTAGCCCAACATTGAGTATTTGTAGGAAAATTGTCATAATCCTTTTAACGTAGGTAGGCCCTTATTTGGGCATTTGTAGGCAAAAACACTAACTATATGGCAATTGATTCCCAACTATTGGAAACCGTTGGCCAACCATAAATGCTGCTAAGGTTAAAGACCTAACAGTACACGATTACAAAGGAGCCTAAATTCTGTCAACACTCGAGTTCTATCCGGAACATCAGTCCATACATTCCTCCCATATATGCTCCCACGACTCTATTCCTCCTCAACAAAACCCTGCATCTCCTTCTATCCTCCTCTTCCCAATACCTTCCCCCTTTCATGTTACCCCCTAACCTATATCCTGCCACCAACTGCCACCTCCTTTCCTCCCAATTGTTCGTTAAGTACCTTGACACCCCCTCTTCTTTTATCATTTTATAGCATTTATTGTACTTTGACTCCACTATGTTCCTCCACCTTTCTTCGCTCTGTACCTCTTTCTCCCTTCTCACCAGCTCTTCCCCTCTCAACCGTCCTTCATCCATCCACTCCTCCACCTTCCCTATATTCCACTCCTTTCTTTCCCAGAATTCTCTCCTCTCCTCCTCCCATTCTGGGGGTCCGTCCCCTGGGGTGGTCGATGGTGCTAGACCTCCCCAGAACAAGAGGTCCCTAGAACAGAACTCCTTACAACTGCTGGAGACTGGAGTTAGACAAGGTTTTCAAGTACTTGCTTCGATGAAGTGTAATAATGGAGAGGGCTTGTCTTTCCATTTTTTTTCCTGGTCGGCCTGTGTGGGTTCGTTAGAGTAAGAACCCCTACCAGTGGTACTGGTACTAATAATCAGTTATTAGGCGTCGTTTGTCGTTCTACAAACCCATCACCTTCGGGTGGAGTAGGGTGAGGCCCATTGGCTTAGGTACCGACCCTTGGATAAACTCCCTGGATATTTCTCAACATTTCCTTGCCAGTTCACCTCCTTTCCCTTCACTTAATTTCCTTTCACACTACCTCCCGTACTATTAATACATATTTAAATTCAAGAGTACAACTGTCGCCTCTTTCAGATTCGGCCTCAAGTACTGCACCGGTCCCGAAACCAGCTTCGACAGAATCCTGGACTACGCGTTGGAGTTTGCCCGCAGCTTCCTGGGGCTACCGTACTTTGGCCTGTTCTGGACAACTAGCATCAGTCACGAAAATGCGAACGGTTTGTCGTCGATGGATAGCCGGCTGCTGAGCAAACTGAAATACCTGGAACGCGAGGGTGTGCTGAACGACTCGATGGTCGTGTTTCTCAGCGACCACGGAATGCGTTGGGGTCCGATCAGGAACACGCTCGTAGGTTGGTACGAGGAAAGGCTTCCGTTCATTTACATTTGGCTACCGGAATGGTTTCGCCTGGAGCGCCCTGACGCATATGCGTCGTTACGCGCCAATGCTCGTCGACTCACCTCGCCATTTGACCTTTACGAGACGCTACGCGACGTGGTGGGTCTGTCGGGTGGCAAGGCAAATCCGTCGTCTGCGTGTCCGGACTGCCATAGCCTCTTGGGACCCAGGCCCGTGCCTCTTCAGAGAGGGTGTTCGGACGCTGGGATTTCTTCTCATTGGTGTGCCTGCACTGCGTTCAAACCAGCGGATCCACGCGATCCAATCGTCGAGAACGGCGCGAAAGCCTTCCTCGAGCACACGGAGAGCCATCTAACCGGGTACAAGGACAAGAAAGGCCACCGTCTCTGCTCTAAATTACGCCTAAAGAAGATTCATCACGTGGACCGTGCCATCGACTTTGCTAATTCAACGGACTTAGTGTTCTTTTATATGTTGCAAGTCACCCCTGGAGATGCCAAGTTCGAGGTGACGGTTAGATACCACGAGAACGAGACTTACACGGTCTCCGATCACGAAGTGAGCAGAATCAACCCATACGCCTCCGGGGCTAAGTGCCTCGACCACGGAATGAAACAATATTGTCATTGCGTCAGATAGGACAGATGTCCGGCCTACTCATGGCCTGCTAACGAAGTATCTATTTTATTTGGGTACCTCGAGTAAAAGTCAATTGTGTTGTCTGTTCGGTCGTGGAGGGATAATCTGACTGCGTCTGGAGCTTTGAGTTTGCCTTGGTGCTGTGTATTGCTTGCTAACTCTACGTTGGACGCGTGATCACTTCTCACGCGTTAAGGTGTATAGACCACAATCTTCGTTCGCTATATATGCGTTATAGTATTTTGTGTTTTCTGGTGAGGCAGCGCTACCGAACTGTAGTCCACGCGACCACTGGAAGACCTGTTACACCTAAAAGAGTCTGTGACAGGCCATTGTTTATAATTTTGTTTTGATTTGATTTTGTTTAAGCGATTAAACTTACGAAAGTTTGACCAACTCTTATGAAAAGTTCAGAACATTTTTACACACATCATTCAAAAGTAATTGGATGTATCGTTTATATAAGGAAATGTTTGTAAAGGATTATAATATGACCATCGATGTACCGATCTTATAATTAACCCATTGGCCTACAACCACGAGTGAGACTCGTGGTAAGGAATTTAATTCATAAACAATAAGCACGTGTCCGACTCGTGGTGCTTCGTTCGAACTTCCTATCTTTTTGTTTAGTATGGTCTGAGGAATCGGGAAATAGCGTGTAGGTCAAGGAGTTAACGTACCGATTTACAGTACCAGATGATTTTCCAATATATTCAACTAAAATCAAAAGCAAAAGCAATGCGTAAAGTGCAAAGGAAATCAAGGACTAATCCTTGTCATAGTCGTTTTTCTGAAAAATTAATTTTTAACCAAATTGCAGCCATTCGAAGATGAAATAACGATTTTTCGAGCAAAGATTGCTTATGTTCCGGCGACTAAAAGAAAACTGTAGCCCAAAACAAAAACTTCTATTATAAGGACTGCGTGATGCGACCTATAATAACTAGTCTTCCTTGCGACCCGCCCGCGTCTTTGTTATACGCTACTGTGAGTAGTCTCCCGCGCATTCAACTTGCGCACCACGCGTCGCCTATTTCCTAACCGACGCAACAGTGCTGGCACAGTATAAGTACAACCAGTAGCGTCACTTGGCAAAAGCAGCGTCCGCAAATGTGCATACCAAGAACATGGCGACGACGCTGTTTCGTATATTGTACACTAGATGGTACTAATAGTAACTGACACCACGCGCAGCGTCACACGTCGCACAATGGGATATTTCACCAATCTAGCTGGCGAAAAGAAAAGGAGTCCCCAGGTTTATATGAAATTTCGTATACAAGGGTTTTTGGAGTCGTAGATAACGAATCTGATATAAAAGAACAAAAAATCAAAATGGCGGATCTAATATGGCCGACTTGTATACTGAGAAGTTAGTAGATTTGCATGAAATTTCGTATAGAGGGGTTTTTGGAGACGTAGATTACAAATCTGATATTTAAAAAATCAAGAACTCAATATAAATTAAATTTAATAAAAAACAAAGACATATATTTTGGTATTAAAAAATTAAAAAATGTACATATATATTAATGTCTGTAAATGAGTCACCAGTCCTCATCAGACGAAACTTCATTTTTATCCAACAGCTGCAGATTATCGTCTGATGATGAATTCGATAGGATACAGAAGCAAAAGTTTATCAAGTTTTATTGAGGAATTAGAGTTTATTGGAAACTAAATAAACTGTAGCATGAAACTTGTTTATATCAAATTTGTAATCAGCAACTCCAAAAACTCTTGTATACGAAATTTCATGCAAATCTGGAAACTCCTTAGTTTGGCCAACTAGATTAGTGAAATACCCACATTACCTTCTGTTACTTTACACTAGTTTATAACTAAGCCAATTTTTAATAAAATCACGCTTTTTCGCGGCTGTTTTTTGCACTAATAGGTTAGTATAAACACTAAGTTTTATGTTTGAGATAAAATAATTACCGGGACCAACCCTGAAGTAGACTAAACTCCTTCTTGTTGTTTAAAATTAAAATCAAAGTAAGAGTAAAAAGGCTATTTTTAAAGCCTTTTTTATATAAATTAAAAGATACAAATAAAAAATAAAACGGTTAAATTAATAGATACTTACCACCTTTAACACAATCCATAACTCATTATGGTCAAATATTCGCACAAACAAAAATGTTCTCTTCTGAAATACAGCAAATACAATTTTAAGAAAGCACGATGCTTACGTGAAAAACACATTCAGATACGAGTGACTTGCTCTTAAAGCCCGGTTGTTAGAGTTGCGAAATGGGTTGTTTTTGATCGCTAAATTTGTTTGACATTACCAGAAGACATTACTTTTTAAGTATTATAAACTTCAAAAACTGCACTTTTGGCCAGCTAGATTGGTTAAATATCCCACTGTGCGTCGATTCAATTTATTGCGCAGCGTCACAGTAACATACTGTGGCAGCGTGTTTACGTGTGGTGTGTCGTGTTTTATTTTTTTTCTAATTATTACTTTTATTTTTCACTTAGTTTCATACGATTACTCGCATTACTTTTATGTTATACTTATAAATTTGTAATATTTTAAACTTTGAATTTGTGTTACTTAGTAATCTGAATATTATTAGGTCGTCCTAAAAGTTCGTGCCATTTATACTTCTATTTCTCAAATTAATATGTGAAACATACTCTTAAGTGTCACAAGAAAAGATAATCTGTTTCATTTCACAATAGTTTCTTACCTCTCTCACATAGTCATTATACCGTTACTAGAAAAATTCTGTGGTTTTTTATTAAATTTCGACACAGTCTTCAGCACGAACTTATGGGACAACCTAATATTTTTACAATTTATAAAATATATATAAATACGTTACAATATCGTAGCAAGCCGCCCTTGCACGGAACCGGTAACGACGTCACCCCTGGGGGGGGGGGGGGAAACCCCGTACGTACGCTCGAAGCTAGACGCGGTGCAAAGTGCCTTGTCAGGTAGCGCCGAGGAACCATAAAACTTGTACTCTCCATGGTCCGTGCTCGCCTACAAAAAGAACAACGTTTTTGCAGTCAAGGCAGTCTGAGAGTAAGACAGACCAAGGCTAGTGAACCAGGTAGTGGCGAAGAGCAAAGAGGACAAAACTGACTCTTTACCCTACTCGGCAAAACCAGCAGCCTCCGGCCCGATAAGGGAAACTCTGTAGGAAGAGCCTATGCACGAGTGTGGCACAGCCGATAACGCTGACCACCCAAACTCTGCACGGTGAAACCTGAAGTAGCCACCCTTGCGAGCCTACCTCTGAACCGTCGCGTTCTCTAACCGCTGCCTAGCAAGGCGCTCTGCCCGCGGATTCGGCGTCTCAAGTCCTGCCGCGAACCGACAAACAACCCCGCCGACAATCTCGGCCGTTACAATATGTATATATATATATGTATATGTATATATATATATATATATATATATTTTTTTTTTTCTTATAGAAAAATATGAATAGAATGTTTCTTTACTAAAGCACTATATTTTTTAAATTCTGGCACTAATGTTCAGTGTTTTATACATACCGTTTGCGATTGCCTTTCTTTTTCTCTCAGTTTATGTAACATGGCGGACCTCGGACACCAACATCAAAGGTGCCGACACGGACTGACGCTACTGGTTGTACTTATACTGTCGTGCTGGCGTTCCTGTAACGTTGGGACACGTTTCGTGCCTCCTCCGATTGTAAAAGGTGTAAAAAAGTTAACGGTCACAATTTTCAGAGATGAAGCTACGCATTTAGATCGGTGGACACTTGTCTAAAAAAATATTTTCCACAAAATTGATTATGATTTAAAAATACAAAGTCAATTTTCTTTCAATTTCTAAATATTCTACTCGAAAGGAAGGTAAAAAGCTTCACAGGAAGCACATATCGCAAACAAACTGTATCTATGTAAAGAACTGTTAAATTTAGAATGTAATATATTTAGAAATAAGCGAAGTTTGACTGTAAATTTTAATGGATTTTGCGGAAAGTTTTTTAAAGGCATGTTCGCCGATCCCGATGCATAGAGTCACCTCTGAAAGTCTTCTGCATTTGTACAATTATTAACTATTTACCATGACGTGTCAAAGAAAAGTTGATCTCGTGACTGTCACGATTGGGATCGTAGAAATTGTTATCGATCGAGTGTGGCATAAATAAAAACATGTTATAGACATAGATTTAACTCTGCTAATAGAGGTACAGTTTACTAATTCTTGAGACGTTGTGGTAGCCATTTTGAGATACATTTTGCCAACGGGGACGTGACCTTGAACAGACAATAGAGTTGACTTTTACTTAATTTTTCCAAGGTCTTTCGAATCCACGAACGCCTATTAATAGTGCCAAATACGATCTGCGTAGATCGCAAATCTCTGCGTCTGAATTTTTTTTTTCAAGCGATTTCACGTTCTTTATCGTCGACGGGAATCCCCTAGTCGAGATATCTGTGATCGATGGCAACTTACAAAAACGCTGCATAAACAAATCGCGAAGCATATCGAATCGAACCGCGCGCGAATAGTACATATCCATGTGTATATATGTATGTGTATGTGTATGTGCTCCCAACAAGCATATACAGGGTGGACTACGTAAACGTGATCATCTAAATATTTCCAGTACTTATAAGTGGATACAAAAATCTGTATACAAAAACCAACGAAACGACAAAAGAAAAATTCCCCGGAAAGTTACGTTTTGTAAGGTTCCAACATCGATTCCTTTAAGATGCCAATTTAAGATACTTTTACAATAAAATAGATAAGTATTATTTACATCGAAAAATGTAGGTTTTGTACAGTTCCGCTTCTCTTATATAATCATGATAGAAGGTCAACGTCGTATGAAAAAGTCTGAAAAAATTTGTCACGGCGAAGTTCCATTGTTTTAAAGGGCACTTATAATGAAACAAAAGAACAAGAATAATTATTTTCGGAGTCTTTTTTCATGAGATGCCAATGTCATCAATGCTTTTAACATGGAACGCTGCATTTTTTACGTTATTGTATAATAGTCAAACTCAAGACGATTTCAGAATAGTATAGCACTAGGTAATTCAAAGTCTCCTAACCTCTGTTACTCACTGTGAGAGAGTAAATTATAAGGAAGTGTTTGGTCGGCAAACGCTTAAGGGGGTATCCTGAATTAGGAGGTCTAAAAAAACCGGTTTTTCGTCAATTTTTTTAGGATGGAAAAAAATAATTCATTCTATCAAACTTTTTACCCTATTTTCATACATATTTGAGTAGTTTGTACAAATTTTGTCAACAAGAAATATTCAAATCGAGTCGACTGCGACCCACATTTGTAGAGCAGCTCACAATTAAAACCTCCTATCGGCGGGAAAGATGCAAGTCGCAATTTTTGTCTGACACAAAAAAACCAATAGAAATTTTCATTTTCATACATTTTTCTTCTATGTGAACTAAGAAAATTCATACAAAAAAATTTTAAACAACTTTCTTTATCAAGTCAAAGTGATTTTTTTCACCCAAAGAACTCGTTCTTTTTTTCAAACTTGCAGTAATTTCACATTTCGCCATTTTTGCAGGTTTTTCTTAGTTCACATAGAAGAAAAATGTATGAAAATGAAAATTTGTTTTGTTGTCTTTGTGTCAAACCAAAATTACGAAAGAAAATTACGACGGTTTTAATTGTGAGGTGCTCTACAAATGTGTGTCACAGTCGACTCAATTTGAATATAACTTGTTGAAAAAATTTGTACAGACTACTCAAATATATATGAAAATAGAATAAAAAGTTTGATAAAATTAATTACTTTTTTTCCATCCTAAAAAAATGGACGAAAAACCGCTTTTATTAGACCTCCTAATTCAGGATACCCCCTTAACTCTACAAGTTGACTGCTGCCTCAGCTGCGTGTGCAGGCCTGAACGTTATTGATGTGCCCTCTTTTGTGATTTTCAAACCTAAGCTTTTTATCACCCAGACGTCGAAGCCGGTTGCGCCCCTTTTATCATCGAGACACGAGATAGAAGTTCGCCTATCTGTGCCGTCCAACATTGTCAACATGCCGCTTCGTTCCGCCCTCGAATTGGATGGTGCCAGCGTCCGCATATGGAAGGCCGTACTATCTACCATCAAAATCCTACTCTTCAACGTCGTACTCGCGGCAGGCGTTTGTCCATCTTCGATGTCGGCTTGAAGGATGATATTCGCGCAGAAGAAATCCAGTTCGATTTCTCCAACCGATTACCATCTTATCTCCATAACATCGGTAGTCGTCAGTCACCTCCAACAAAATTCCGGCGTTGAAGCTTCGCGCATCTAGGTTAGGGAGGTATTCTTGTCTAGAGCGTCAATTTTTAGTTCTTTTTAAGGGGCGCAGGAGCCAGAGCCAAACTCCGAGCTGACTTCAGCGACAGTTGGGAAAAAAGTAGGAAACTACGGGATAAGGACAGAGAGGGCGATACAAAAATTGCAGGAGAGACGAAGACAGGGCGATTAGGCTAACATAATTTTTTTTCCAGGATATTGAAGCAAAGAAGCAATATTTTCTAATAAAAATGGTTTTAATATGTTTGTTACACTTTGGCGGATGCGACTCCAAGGCCTGATTTTGCAATTTCAGCCTTAAAACTTTATAAACAATAAAAGTACGTTTGCTATCTTCATTTTATTGGTTATAAAGTTTTAAGGCCGAAATTGGAAAATCAGGCCTTGGTGTCGCATCCGCCAAAGTGTAACGAATATGTTAAAACCAGAATTATTAGAAAATATTGCTTCTTTTCTTCAATATCCTGGAAAAAAATCATGCTAACCTAATCACCGTGTCCCCGTCTATCCTGCAATTGTTGTATCCCCCCCTCTGTCCTTGTCCCGGAGTTTCTTACTCTGGCTCCTGCGCACGCTTAAGGATTTTTTTTTAATCCATGAGGAGTTTTTATAAAGGGTTTTGTACACATACTTGTTCACATTTTAAGAACATATGCAATTGTTTTGGAGGTAAAAAGTAATCGTAATTAAATTCTGCTCAATCTGAAAATTTTGGTTTCCAGAGGGAGTTAGATATATGAATAATAATGTATCAGTACTATTCTGTTCATTTATGGACTCATGACACAGTACGCTATGTCCAAAGTAAACAGTTTTTATAGTACGCGTTCCTTTTCTAATCTATCTGTGCAACACCGCACGATTCTGATCGAGTTTTATGTTTTGATGAAGTTATGAAAATGTTTGATTTCACAGTATATTTTCAGGAAGCAATACAGGGTGTTCCACGCAACTGGAACAGGCTCCTCCTAAACGGTAGGAAGTAGAAAAACATTATAAGTGAAAGTGAAATGGTGTAAGATAGTGCATAGCAAAAGTAGGAACCTGCGGGACAAAGATAGATAGATCTTTGTCTCTCCAATGATGCTGTGACAGAGAGAGAGAGAGAGAGAGAGAGAGAGAGAGAGAGAGAGAGAACAATTGCAGGAGAGACAAAGACAGAACGATGTCAAGCATTTGTAATTTTCCAATCAGTTATTTCCATTTTCTGAGCCGAAAAAGCGACCGTTTCGTCTGATTTTTTTTTTAAACTGTTCCTTGTAAAATTCCGCAATGGGGCACAAGGCCGGATTTTTCAATTTCGATTTGAAACATGATAAAAATACGTTTAAAGGCGAGCAATTTTTTGTGGATATTTTTTCAAAAAAAGGGGACAGTCTTCGGTGACTTTGAATGACTTTGTATTATATCATTCTGAAACTTCTTCAACGGCGGCTGTTGCATAAAGATTAAAGAAATATGGTTTTATATTTAAAAAAAAAAAACATCGATGACCTTGGAATTTCACAAAATAATGCTATTGGAAGAAATTATGTTTCAC